ATTAGAAATCAGAATTTCACATATAATTTTGTATTACCTACTATATTCTACTATATTTATTTTAGTCAAAACCTTTGTGAATTTTTACAAAACATCCATCATTTGCCCTTCACAAGTCCTCTGCAAAGCTAAGGCCTCTCCCAAATTTCTTACCAGGTCGTCGCTCCATCTAGTTAACAAGAGATCAGTTTTATCGTAGTAGAGCCGTTGATATACAAAAACCCTTTTGAAGTTTTGTATATCAATAGGTAGAGCTATGCTACACGTATGTAATAGTTGTAGCACGAATGGGTCGGCTCTGTCGGGAAAGGACCACGCTCTCACAGAATACCAACGTCAAATAGCAGCTGTGGGGCTGTTGTGTTTCGTATGGTGAGTGTAGTAAACCGGATACTCCTTTTACTGGAAACGATTCATTCCATCTTAGGCCTCTGGGGTGACAACGCATCTGTATTTTGATTCCTTATTGGGGATAGATGTAGATGTCTATGGGCCACAGCGTCCACTTCATGAGGTGGTCGCTTCCAAGCTGTTACTAAAGTAAATTTTGAAAATAGTTTATAATCATTTATATTGTAAAATTTCTTTTTAAAAAACGTCCCACTGGGTTTCTTGCTGGTTCTTTCCAGGACAGAGGATTTTTTTTTTCGAAGTAAAAAATTACTTTCAATAAGAAGTACTTGTATTCAATATTAAATAAAAAAATATTCTATTCTTTTCTATTACCATCAGGTGGACTGTGTGCTCGTTGGTCACTTTATTCTATAAAAAAGACGGTTTCTAATTATTGCCAGTGATTGTTACATCCAACAAAGACATCAAAGAAAATTCTCGAAGGTTCGACTGTAATTATGTTCAAAATATGTTTTTGCGGCACACAAAGATACCAAACGCGTTTTTACGAATCCCAAAATAAAAATGTACAAAAAACTTCTTGAATATTATCTCGAAAAATATAAATTGCCACGATCGTAGTTTCATTATCTTTAACGCAAAGATGTTTCAACTTGAGGCATCTTTTAAGGTGTTTAGTATAAAAAATATTATTGCAAAAAAATAATTCGAGTTTTATTTTTGCAATTAAAGCTCTGAAAACGACAGTACATAATATATATTATAATAGTTCAAATTTCGGAAGTCGCGATAAAATAATCATTCTAATCTGACCGGAATTCTCGTTGAACATAATATTAACAAATACATATTATTAATTCAACGTGTAGTGGCAATGCAAGAATATATACCATCCTGTAACATCCCGTGGGTTTTGTAAGAGACGACAGAGTGGATCAAACCAGGAGATGGGCAGCAGCGTCTTTCTAATAACGACGAAGAGTAAAAAAACTGCGTAATTGCGCACATTTAAATAAAACTAATTTTACGGATTTCATCGCGTATATTAACTTATTTTATATTCCCGAAGTTTCAAGCACTTTACAGCACCCATGGTCACGGGGGGGACTGAGGTGTATGACGTCCCAATCTCATAGTTAACCACGGCTACCTCCAGATTAACCTCACCAGATTAACCTCCAGATACACCTCAGTCCCCCCCGTGACCATGGGTGCTGTAAAGTACTTGAAACGTCGGGAATATAAAATAAGTTAATATACGCGATAAAATCCGTAACATTAGTTTTATTTAAAAAAAACTGCGGTTGCAAACTATAGCAAATATATGCCATATGAGGCAATCTATGGAGGAGGCCTATGTTCTGCAGTGGACTTTTAATAGGCTGTAACGGTAACAGATGCATAACATATTTGACGTGTACTTAGTAAAAGATATATACCATCAGATGAAATGTACGTTTATGTTAAACCCCAAATATTAAGAGAAAATGAAGGTGACATTGGTGAATTAAATTACAAAAGATCAAACATGATTTTAGTTTTTATAAGAAATTTAGTAATATCGTTAAAGGTAGGTAACCAACCTCGACATCTACTGTAACAAGAAAATAACATAAAATGGCGTGCCGATGAAAAATAATACTCGTTATTGCTATTGTTCATCTGCGGGTCACGGATAATAAGCAGCTAATTGGCTACGTATTATAATAATTTACAATTTGACTTGAACACTTGATCATTTCTTTAAATAAATTCAAGGCCTCTTCTTCACAAAGCATTGTCTACTAAAAGAAAAATGAGACTCGGTGCCAAGACTTCTCTTCTGTCTATGGAACCGTCTGGATACCACCTCCACACCTTTTTCTGCAGCCAATTTTTTCAGTTTTATAAAAAAAAACACATAAAATTGTTTAAGACAAAACAATAAATTTTATCGTATAAACATTTTCAATTTTATTCAGTTTATAGTTAATTAGTGTGACAAGGGCTCACTCTTCACGTCAGTATATTCCGAAAATTTGTGTTAAATTACCTTGTCATAATGACTCAGGTAAATTATAATGATATTGCATGTACAATTATCATTAGTTTTCTAGAAACAGTCGATGATAAATACAATTTAATTTCCGAATAAAACAAATATAATTCAGTCTAAACGTAATGTAATCGCTTTAAATATTTTATCTACCGACTTCAAAAAGGAGACGGTACTTAATTCGATTGTATGTTTTTTTTTATGTGTGTTACCTCATAATTTTTTACTGGGTGAACCGATTTCGATGATTCTTTTTATTTGAAAGCTGGTGCTTCACATGTCGTCCTGTATAAGTTTGATCAAGGTCCGACCAATAGTTTTTGAGTTATTCCTAATAATTTATATTGAAGTAGGTTGTACAAAATTTTTAATTATGGTGGGACTCTTTTTACTAGGTGGTTGGTCTACTTTACTGGCTAGAAGTTCATCTGCGTAGGTACCATTGCGGTGCGTGCTCTGCTTTCCATTCTGATATAGCCATAGAGCCAGTATTACAGGTTGTGAGGCATTCAATCTTAGTCCTCAAAGGTGATAACGCATCTGTAGTCTTATGAAGTTGTCTGCACATGTCCATTGGCTGCAGACTGCAGTAGCCACTTACCATATTTTTTTATATAAGATAGGGTGACAAACGAACACACAGTCCGCCTGATGGTAAGTGGTTGCTGTGACTCATATACATCTACATTTATCCTCGTTTGCGAATCAAAATGCAGATGCGTTGTCACCGGTGAGGACTAAGATAGAATGCCTCTTTTCCAGTAAAAAGGGTCTCCGGATCTCTACACTCACCAATACGAAACACAGCAGTGTTAAGCTGCTATTTTACGCTGGTATTCTGTGAGAGCATGGTCCATTTCTGGTCGAGCCGATCCATTCATGCTACAACTATACTACTAATATAGCGGCAGCATGGCTCTACCACATATAAAAAAAGACCTAATAGACTTAAATTTTATTTAAAAAAATCGTGGCTATCTTTCGTATAAAAACGATTTTCTTTGAACACTAGTAATGATATAAATCTTTGACTTTTGTGTAAATGATAATAGTTGTCAAATTCAAACTCACAACTTTTATTCACCAAGCTCAATGTCATTTCCATCAAGCTTCTGTCATTCTATACAAGATATTATACTCATTTATATGTATAGAGCTCATTATACAAACTCAACAGTGCATTAACGTATCACCGGTAATGTGTAATTACATTATTCATCTAGTGGTCGTAAACGAGACTACTGATCACAGTCACAAGTTTAAATCCCAGGTCGGGCCACAATCAGTGAGTTTTTCTGTCGATAAATAATCCTCAGTAGGAACCCGGGGTCAGGAAGATTCCGTGTTATGCCTCAGAAAGCACGTAAAGCCATTGGTCTCGCAGCTGTGCTTTCTGCGGTCGTATCAGGCTACCGTCCGAATGGAACAGAAAATGGGTAGCAGCATTTTCTTTATAACAACTTAAAATAATAAAAATACGGTTGCCAAGTGTGGCAACTATTTGGCAATATATGTGGGGGCTATGTTCGGTAGTGGACTTTGACAGGCTGTGATGATAATGATGATGGTTACGCATACTGTGTAAAAATAATATTATGTTATTCATAATTTTGGAATGCATTTGTTTTGCATTGTTTGTACACGCGATAAATCACTCTGTTATTTATTATTGAGTAAGGTGCAATAAGCGGTCACCGAGAAATTATTTAGACATTACACGATATTTAATTGAATATAGATACCTACCTAAATCCAGATGTGATTGGTTACCCTCCCGGATTACTAAGTCTCTCTAAACTTCCTTTAACATTACTTTTCATATATTTTTTTTGCTTCTAGAAGCCTGGAACATTTTCTGGATAATATTAGGGATGTTTAAATGTTTTACATACCTACCTAGAAATATAAATAAAATTACAGTGTTTGTTTGTAACATCGAAATAACTTTTTATTGAGCTCAGGGGGTTATTTACATGATATCAAAACACGATGTCATGCAAATAACAATTTAGTTGAATGTTTGTCTGTCTGTAGGTATATCTGTCTGACCGCGCTTATCTTCAGAATATTTTATCTGCAGAGCTTTAATATTTTTTTTTGTGAAATCGAAAATCGTTAAATAAATGGTCATTGATGATTATGTTTAAAAGGCCTCAATGACGTTACATTAGTAGATCCGACCCAAGCGAAGCCGTTAGTAGTTTTTTTACGTGGTAGAGCCATGCTGCAGCTATATTAATTGTATAGTAGTAGCACGAATGGGTCGGCTCGATCGGGGAAGGACCACGCTCTCACAGAATACCAGCGTAAAATAGCCGCTTAATGCTGCCGTGTTTCGTATGATAAGTGAAGAGAACCGGAGACCCTTTTTACTGGAAAAGAGGCATTCCATCTTAGTCCTCACGGCTGACAACGCATCTGCATTTTGATCCGCATACGAGGATAGATGTAGATGTCTATGGGCCACAACAACCACTTACCATCAGGTGACCTGTATGCTCGCGTGTCACCCTATAAAAAAAGTTAAAAATGCTTTTAGGTGCCAAAAATATCCTCCTAAATGTGAATATAACATAGAATTTGAAAATAAAATTATTTTTTATTTCGCCAGATTTACCACCTCAACAACATGCATCAAGCGCATCCAGCCACGTTTCCAGCGGTGCAAGCGGCGCCCACGCACAGCTCAAGCGGCTAGTCGCCAGGGTCGTGGAAGAGGCTGTAGCGCTGCCTGCGCTTGCGCGGTATGCCAACGAGCGATCACCGACGCCTGCTATCGAATCTTCTACATACGAGGATCTACTAGCTACGGCAATTTTGAATAAGGTAAATTATTCAATATGAGACAATTTTATTTCTGTACATATATTCCATAGGTTAAATTGACTGCCTCGTTGATAAAAGTGGCTGCTGATTATAGGTTACCGGGTTCAAAGCTCGGATAGGTCCAAAAATTAATACTTGAGTTTTTCTTTCAAGAAATTGTTAATAGCAGCTTGGAGTCAGGACGTTGGCGGTGTTTCACGTAATTGAAATAGAAATATAAACTTTTTTAATTCAATATAGATTATAAATAATATTTATTAAAAGTCACTCTTTATGTTTCCTGCATGGATGGGAAAAACAGCGAAAAGTTTTTTTTTAAATCAATATTTTGCCTCATGGTGCGAAAGTAGGGGGTGGTATTTTTTACGCCGCTACCACACGGCGAAGAGCCGAGTTTGTTCTTTCGGCTTTGTCGCTTGTTTAGCACCACCCGGGGGGCACGTGTAGGGTGGGCCTAGGATTAGGTGGTCGAAGCCTACGGACGCGAGCGACTGTCAGGTGTCAGGCGACGCGGGTGAAAGGCGTGAGTGTTTATGTTTTTTTTAAGTTTATAATCAAAACAAAATTATATGTTACACAATTATCAACACAAAACAAATTAGAAATAGCTTGGTAGCGATCACCTCATTCCTAGGAGATATTATCATCCACAAATTCCTTAATATTATAATAACGCTTTTTATATAAACTTTGTTTAATCAAGTTTCTGAATTTCGAAATCAAATTTTGTATATTTTCTGGGATTTTGTTGTAAAAGCGTATACATCACCCCAAAAATTAGTTCCTGACTCGGTGGAGTCGATTAACTGGTACTACTAGCTTATATCTGTTCCTAGTAGTATTTTCGTGCCTCAGAAAACACATAAAGCCATTTGTCGTGCGCCTTATATCTCGCCGGACGTCAGATTGTCATCGAAGCGGACTATGAGACTGATGTAATAAAGAGTGCATCTGAGCTTGCGTTCACACTCGTTCACTGTCCTGGCCTGAGCAGATGGCTGCTCTTTGTTGAGATTTGCCACCGTGACCGAAATTCGGTTAAAATTCTGGAGGACATCATTATGAGGTTAATTTGCACAAATTGTAGTAGCAATGCAGAATAACAAAGAATTTATTCATTCATTTATTTCTTTAGTCATCTGTCTACGCCACATGCGAATAATTTAAAATTAAAAATTTTGTACAACCGACTTCAATATAAATTATTAGGAATAACTCAAAAATTATTGGTCAGACCTTGATCAAATTTATAGGGGACCACATGTGAAGCACCAGCTTTCAAATAACAAAAGAACCATCGAAATCGGTCCACCCAGTAAAAAAAATATGAGGAAGCACACATAAAAAGTATAACGTACTACCTATAATATTGTTACGAGCTTGGGGTTCGAGACAATTAAAAAACTGCCGATTGAATTACCAAAATTGACACTTTAATTACAGAACACTAATTACACTCTAAAACCACACTAATAATAAAACACAATTGTACTACTGATCACTTTAGTTCGCAGTTATTTCGCTTCGAAGTATTCTCTTGTATCGCCAATTTAATACTGACTCCGTCGTGGTCTATACCGGCCTTATATAGTGCTCAGATCATTTCCAGAACCTTCTACTGTAGCGACATCTAGAATGTTCGAGTACATATCGGTCCCGAAATTTCTAGAAGGATCTTGACTCTCCTAATAAAATACTGTTGCGCGCCACTATTAATGTCTTGTACATGGCAACACTAGTTACCACTAGCGCTCTCTAATGTCGAGTAGCAGAACTAGGAGAGTCAAGATCCTTCTAGAAATTTCGGGACCGATATGTACTCGAACATTCTAGATGTCGTTACAGTAGAAGGTACTGGAAACTATCTGAGGCCCTATATAAGGCCGGTATAGACCACGACCGAAGACCTGCGCCCTCTTCCCCTGCGCCCTCTTCTCTCAAAAGAGCGTCGCTTCCGATCCAGCAAAGAAGCTTAATCAGCCAAATGCCGGTCCCACAGCCGGTTTTTAGCGGGTATCACTTAGGTCCCCCGTAGGATAGTTACAATGAGTCCCGCATAAACACGACAGACCGGCTGTCGTGGTATGCATAAAGCATTTACCGCCTCCCCGCGTATCGGGGTAACCCATTTTCCTTTTGCTACTGGGCGCAAAAAAAAACGACCGAGGAGTATTGAATTGGCGATATAAGCGAATACTTCGCAGCGAAATAACTGCGAACTAAAGTGATCAGTAGTACAATTGTGTTTTATTATTAGTGTGGTTTTAGATTGTAATTAGTGTTCTGTAATTAAAGTGTCAATTTTGGTAATTCAATCGGCAGTTTTTAATTGTCTCGGACCCCAAGCTCGTAACAATACATATTAATGTATAACAAAAGAGCGCCATTATCGCCAACAAACTGTTGCACAGTTTGGCGATGTTTATTATTATTTTTAATGAGTGTATTTTATATGAATAAAAAAACGTACATTCGAATTGAGTACCGTCTCCTTTTTGAAGTCGGTAGAAAAATGGTGATAGATTCTCTTGGATTTTCTTAAGTCGAGATACATATAATTTTTCTTTGACTTCAAAACCTATACATACTCACTACATACATTAAAATTATATTGAATTGTCTGTCTGTAATATCGGTATAACCGGCTTCTATTTAGCTCAGTGTGTTATATCCATCTTTTAAGACATGAAAAAACATTTTTTAAATTTTAATCTGTCCATCTGTATGTCCGGGCTCCGGGCTAATCTTTGGAACGGCTGAATCGATTGTAATAAAAATTACGAATAGATAGAGAGCAATGCCAAAAATACTTAATCCAGGCTATATTTTTATCCGAAAAACATGCAGATTGACATATTCAATTATATCTCATATATCTCTTAAAGTTTTTATGCAAAGTTACTTTTTAACATTTTCTTTGCTTTAATGACATTTAACAACAAAACTATGAGTGCTAGAGTTGTCCTTTTTTTCGTGAAATTAATAGATCTTCAACTTTTATTAGGAACAGTATTACATAACGAGTTTTCAAACAAAAAAAAAACGAATTTAAAGTGGTTTTTCGATAATCGAACTACTTCCTCAAAAACCTCTATTATAGATGTGCAGGTTTTTATTGATATTCTACGCGGAACAAATCTAGTTTATTTATATAAATAGAAAATAAAAAAAATTACTTGTTTTAAACCTGTTTAACGTAGAACAGGCGAAAAACTTCGAATCAGTGAGCTCGCGTATACTTTGCTCTATCCGCATATACGGCTATATGCCATAGGTATATCTAATTCATTTCATTTGTCCCCTCGTGATGTAGGTCGCAGAGGCGACTCAGAGAAATTTAAACAGGAGCGGCAACAGCACCTTCCTGATAATAACTGAATATTATAAAAACTGCGGTTGCCAACCAGCCTGTCAAGCGTGGCATCTATGGCAAAATCCCCCCTATGAGGCAATCTATGGGGAAGGCCTATGTTTCAGTTGTGAACTTTTATAGCCCGTAATCGATGGATGGATGGATTCAGTTCATTCCTCTAGTTGAGGTTGAAATTAGGTACTTTGATTTAGCTTCTGTAATATTAATTCAAGCTTAATTTTTTTTTTTGTTAAAGCATCACCAACATTTGTATACATTGTTAAAATTATAATTTACATACATACGTAGTTAGGGTTTTACTTTAAATGCTACAAACTATTATAGGTGATTACAACATGCACTGGAATAAACATCAAGAATAATACATAGTTACAGCAAACTAAAACGTTAAAAAAAATCCAAAAACTTAATCTATTACATTTGCATTATGCTTGAGTAGTTCTTTTCTGAGCTTGTTAGGTGAGTCGGAATTAGTATCAAAAGTATGGGAAAGTTCACTGATCAATTTACTTAACCTAGAGATCGGGGAATTTGCGCCAAATACTATTTTTCGAAGTGGTGATCTAATAGCAATTATTCTCTTACGGGGGTATCTATGAGGTACGCGAAATTTTATCTTATTTAACAATTGGGAGCATTTAATTGTATTCGTTCTAGGCGTAAAGAATGCGTTGCATGATGTGGTCTCCAAACTACAGAACAGTATTCTAAGATACTTCGTACTAAATTATTGTAGAGAATTATTTTGGTTTTATTGCTGCGGAAAAGTTTAATGTTTCTGTAAAGAAATCCTAACATTTTGGTGGCACGTTTATATACGTTAATATATTCCATAAGCGGCATAGATGTGAGTTTTCTGTCAAATATGACGCCTAAATCCTTGATCTCTTTTAGTTCCTGTAAATTATTGCTGCCTATGTGATAACTGTAGTAAACTAAATTCATTTTCCGAGCAAATTATACGTAGAAACATTTTTTTGCGTTGAGTTCCATCTTATTCAAATCACACCATTGAAAGATATTGTCGAGATCACACTGGAGTTTACGTGCATCATCTGTGGTTTCAATTATTCTGCAAAATTTTAAGTCATCAGCATACATGTAAGATTCAGAAAATTTTAGGCACAAAGGCAGATCATTAATGTAAATATTAATAGAAAGTCTAGAATTAAAAATAGATTAATTTGAATACGATGAAACCAGTAAAATAAAGTCAAATTAAATATAAGAAATTGAGATATTATCAGGCAAATACTGTATTTGTTACGTGACTAATTATATAAATGAATATTTGTTTTTTATGGCATTATTCTCATTTTATTTTTATTGGTACCTAGAATTATAATTAGCAATGAGATTTTAAGTGGTGACTTTACCTTGACTGGATATCTTTTAAGTCGTCAAATTAAACAATAATGACGGAAAAACCCCGGTTTTTTGTAGTTACGTAAGTGCTCATCCGTCTGCAGGAATAATTATATTAAAGACGCATTAAGAATAAACAAGTTTACAACAAACTTCATTCTAACAATATTTTTCTACAGTGTATGATTTATTAGTTAGTAGACCCATGCTGCAGATATATTAGTGGTATAGTTGTAGCACGAATGGGTCAGCTCTATCGGGG